TGGCGAGACTTCTCGGGGCAAATGGCCGACCCTATGATTTTATTAAAAATAAGGTTGTTGTTTTTTTTCTAAATTCTTAAAAGCTGTCTTACATAAATAGTTGCGATAGACGTGTTGCTAGCTTCAAGGCTGACATACCCTTACCCATTCTGACTCGCGTTTTGGAGAGCACAGGGCCAGACTCAAGTATGAATTTCTGTGTCAAAAGGCTATTGAATTTCCACACAAACACGCCGTCATACAAGCCTAAAGTCTTACATATTAAGTAGAGCATGAGCGGCCAGCCAGAGCGTGGAGACGCCGGATAGGCGTAGATCTAATAAGATAATAAGTAAGTCTCGAACGGGGACCCCAACTTGATAGCATGAACCCTTTCTGTAACAGACATCGATACACCACTGCCTTTTTCACATCATAGTATTATTTTCTGTTGAATCATGGTTACGAGTTAACCGACTCTGTCTGGAAAGAGGTGGCGTTAACCAACACAATGTAGTAACCATGTCATAAAGCAGTTAATAAAATCCTGTAATAACAGTCGAATAACAAAAAGTTTAATCACCTCCAACAAAATTGAGTATTATAATGGGCCTACCCTTCAAACAAATTTATATAATGTCTGCAAGCTGTTCTAGTATTCAACGGGAAACCCAGAAAGCAACGTTTTATAAATGGAGATTGGAAAAATTGTTTCATTCTCTTAACAAATTATGTACCTCAAAATTTTATTTTTTTATTGCTTTTTTAACATTTCGAATTTGGATTTCGACCGAATATTTCGTTGCGCCTACATGATATGACACTGTCATCTAAAGAAAAAGAATAATAGTGGTCCTATTGATTTTAGTACATCCAAATTGTTGGCCGGCGATGTTTCGATAGACAAGTGGATATTTGAATTTGTTTTGGGAGAAGCAGCGATAGTTTTCACGCTATCTCCCACACGTAACTCTTCAGCTTCTTACCGTGACACATTCGCTTCACAAAATTTCCAGACTCCAATAGGCATTAGTTCTGCGTTTCTCGAGAGGAGTACTAAAACAATAAAATATACTAAAATATAAATAAGGAGAAATGTGGGTAATGTTTAAAGTAAGAGCAAATAAAAAATGAAGATTTTCGGAGTGTATTTAAAATCAACACCATCACGTGCTTAATTTGCAAACGACGATCGAATTATGGTTTTCCGTAGTAATTCATTTCTTTGCTCGTATGCTTTCAAACTGTATTTTATCTTGTTGTTTGTTGTTTTGTTTTTTACATCTATGATTCATCACTCGTTTGTTTAGGCTATCCACGTAAGTTGTTCTGAACCAATTCCCTGCCTTCTTTGTCTTCAATTTTACAGTGAGAATTTTAAAAAATGATAATAACAATAATAATAATAATAATAATAATAATAATAATAATAATAATAATAATAACAAAAGCAGAAGATAGCATTCGTAAAGCGCAAATTCCTGTTAATCAGAAAGCTCTTATGCGCTTTACGATCCAATATAATATTACTCTAGCGCACCTGATAGTGATAGTGATAGCATTCAGAAATATCTCAACTTCCAAGGAATCATTAACAGTGCAAACAGCTATTTATAGGCGCTATACCGCCCACATACTGAAAATATCTTACTTTAGCTATCTATCAAAGAAAATAAAATGAAATAAAATAAACGGAAAAGGTAGCGCGACTTAGTCATGCTGGGAATAGTAGAGTAAGTAAAGTAGATTAACCTGTCCCCGTGGTTTTATGAGAAAAAAATCATGAAATTATGCAAACTGAGCCCCAAAAAAGAGAAATTATGCGATTCTGTTTATTTTAACAAAGAACGAGAAAGGAAAATAATCAGAAATTAAGCAGAAAATGATCAAATTTTGCTCAATTATGCGGGGTGCATAAAACCACGGGGACAGCCGAACACTATTCATGAACTGTGAAATCAGTGAAAAATAATTTAATTGAATAATGAATGTCTCGTTATTTCAAAAAATGTTAAGTAATCTGGCATCTGCATTTGTCGCGGCCGCGATTATTGCATTTTTCGAAAAAGACGAAACAGCAAAGCAACTTCGTAACATATTAAACATGTATTTTGATACGTTTTAAGATGTCCATGTGTATCTATTTTCATGCGGAGAATATAAGTACATCACCATACTATTTATATTGTTGTCTGTCTTTTATTTCTCCCTCTTTGTTGTGTTTTAATTTGTTGGCGTTTTTATTCTTCTAACAATTGTAATGATGATTTGTTTTTCTTTTTTGTGTTTATACAGCGTAATGTCATTTAATTTAATGCAGTTCCTACCCTTTTAAAAATATAACTGTGTTATGTTAGAGCGTGTCTCCATCAAAACCGAATTCAATACTGACCACTGACACTATCGTGAGGCCCTTGTGTCTACATCGTCGTCTCGAAAGGATAACAAGTGTTTACCCTGTTAACGCTGAGTAGAGGTTAACACAAATTTAAATGAAGACAGCGCACGGCAGCCTGGGCTGTGCAGTCGCCCGGAGAGCCGAACACTGAGGTGCCAAACAATTTGTGCTACACATCACAGACGTACATTTGATTCTAGGGGTTTACACTTCAGACTTCAACATAAGTTAAGGACCACCTTGACAGACAGCCGTGATTTTTTTCAAATCCGAAAAAAAGACAGAAAGGAATGTTTCGAAACTTTTTGCTCTGAAAGTTAATTGATTACCAAAGCGTACTACAGTACAATGTTTCCTAGAGGGGCAAAACCATCACGTGCTGCAAAGGAAATCCTTGGGGAATTTCAGCTAAATGTGCAGGGTTTTTTTATTGACTTGTGTGCGACACCACGGTCATTCCTTGGTTAAAATTTATGGTGTACGCCATAAACGGACGTACGGTCTCGAACTGTGTCCACTTTGGTGGCAATACAAGTCGCCGTTAGTGCAAAATCCAGTATCGCATCAACATGCCACCAAGACGAAAGCTGAGAGACTTTGACTTTGATCGAGCCAGAGCTATGGGACGGCTGTAGTTAGGATGAGGTTGGAGCCCGAGAAGTTGCCAGAAGGCAGGCTTGCAGTTGCTGTGTCACACTCTGTCATTGTCCGCTTGTGACAGCACCATCAAGCTACTGGATCAGTCCAAGTACTCCAAGAACGCCCACGTGCAGGTCCACCCAACAGAACCACTCAGAGTGTTTGCAAGTGGTCCTTAGCTTATGTTGAAGTTGAAGTCTGTAGCATGCATCATCATCCTTCAAATGTATGTATATTAAATAATAGACCTGTCCCCGTAGGATTATGCGATTGTTCGGCCGCTTTTTTTCGCGTAATTCTGCAACATTTGCATAACTTTGGATTATCCGCGTTTTTTCACGTTTTGTTTTTCCTTTTTTTTTCACAAAACAATTAATTAACGCCTCGCCATGTTACTAAAGGGACGTAATCACCGTAATAACTCTCATTTAAGTGAAACGTTGGTTATTTCCCTAGTTAGATCTTGGTTATGGGTTGTGATTTTGTTCCTTGAGCGTGTTAAATTTTTCAATCCATCAAAAGTTGTTCTCATGTCAGCTGATATTTCATGTTTAAGTTTTTTAGTAATGTGCCAGCATCAGATGTCCAGATGTCCTTTTTTTAAATACTTTTTTCTTTCCTCTATAGATCTAGAATCTAGATCTAGATCCATCATCTACAGCTGAAAGTTACAGAGATTTTTTTTTTTTGATTTTTTTACTGATGTGTATTGTTTTGTTTTCCAAATACACAACAAATTACAGATACTGATATGTTCTGTTTTCAATTTTTCTGTACATAAAACATGAAAATCAGGAAACTTCGCGTTGAAAAAGTGCAAAACATGTCGCGAATGGTGTTACGGTAACTTGCATAATTTTGCTTCTTTGCATAATTTGGCCTTCTAAATTTGCATAATTCTACGGGGACAGATAGACCAGCTCACGCACTAAAATCACTTAACAACTTTAACAATTATTCTTTCCTTTTCCTGTCCTGGAAATACCTGATGGCTGTAATGATGGACGAGGGCTGTCCCACAGAAAACCGGAAAAGGCCCATAAAAGCAACAATATTTTTCTTATCATAATAGAAATGTAACACATCATACCTCAACATGTGCATTATTTCTCAATCTGCGGTAGGATTATGCGATTGTGCGGAATGAGGTGAAAATATTGAATAATTTTCAAATTACAGCCAAATTACGGTTTTCCGTGGGACAGCCTTCGTAATTTGTAATAAAAAGTATGGCATCAAGGTGAAATCAGTTGCTCGTCAAAATTTTATGAAATCGAAGAAACAAGACATTTTTCCACCTATCAGGCAATTTTCATCACATTTTGTTTTGGGTTTCGCACTTTTTAGGTCCATTATAAACAACATATTCTTAAGTGTATTTTTTACTTAAATTATAAATATTTGCAGTTTCCAAGGGTACTCAAGTTTTTGTATTGGGAGGTACCAAAACTTTGGTGACCATTTTCTCACTACATAATTTTACCTTTGAGACCAAGCAACCCCACCTTTTTCAATCACAAAAATGTCTCGCTTTCTGTTCAAGATAGTTGAGTAATTTTGGCATCAAAAGCAAGGCAAATGAACAGGCTATAAGATTAGACCTATGCTATACGCCATATGCCCAAAAATTGATGAGTGCACAATTCCACCGTCGTGATACAATTAATGTTTTGACTGTGTACCATTTACATAATAATTTTCCATCATTTAGGGAGGGAGAAGGCTTCATCAATCCCGTTTTTCAGGACCAGTCTGGGCAAGGCCCCCCAACTTGGTCAAAAAATCTTCCCCACTATGGAGGAAAATTGTACCTTTGGTGTGCAAGTGCAAGGTAATAAGCCTCCTCACTTGACTACATGTACCGGACTACAGCTGGATGGGTAGCCAGCCTCCTCACTAGATTACAGATGCCTAAGCACAAGTAAGACAAAGCAAAGGGACTTAAAAATGCGTCAGGACAAAAAAAAAGAAACAACAAAACAAGTTCAGCTACAGAACTCTCCTTTTATTGCACAATAAATTCTTCATCATCAAGAACATGCATGCCTTCTCAAATACAGTCAAACATGTGCACCTTCCTTTGTCATTCCGTTCCAAATCACTCCATCGTGCAACTTGCAAGTAACAGACACACACACGCATCGTTCTCAACAACCATGTGCAATGATAAATAACAGGAAAAAATTCATGTGAATGATAAAAAAAGAGATAATCTTGAATTCTTATGAGAAAATTCCTCTGAATACATAATAATAATAAAATCAATTCAAGTTCAAGGTATGACACTGTGTGATTACAACACCCTTTTCAATATTGCAGAGATATAGGAAAGGTGCTTGTTCTATTCTTACTGTCCACTGATGAGACCGAATCATGAGGTAAGAAAGCCACGTGTTAATGCATTGAAAACTATAATCTTCAAGAAAGTTATCTTTCCTTCTTCACTCGTTACACTCACAATCTACCACTATCCGTATCAGCCCCCTGAGAGGGTTCCAACTGATCTGGGGGGAAAAACACATTAAAAAAAACCAAACCCAAGTAGTCAAGACTACAACAAAGATGCTGAGAAAGATGCTAGAAGAAGCTGTGGTCAGGAATTACAATTCACAAATCTCAGAAAGATACAAGACCAAGGCAAGCAAGCCCATGAACAGACGTGAGCAATTGGTACGTTGGGAGTTGGAGTTGGAGTTAATAGAGGCACATCAACACAATTCTGGTCAATGGGCGCCAGGAAAAAGCAAGACAAATTGACAGAATTATGGAAAGAAAAGAAAAAAGTAGGACATACTACTGACGTCCTTAATCCACCCTCAATGGACAAGTTAAGTTGAACAAATGGCAGTGGACTGATTGTGCAAGTACAGAGAAGTACCTAAGACAAAAGAGAGTTGTGAACTAGACAATCAGTGCCTTAATTAACATATAAAGACAACAATGAACAAACCAAAAAGTTAAAAAGACTTCAATTCCTCCTTGTAAAAAACATATTCCATTTTATCCATTCAAATAAAAATTTAAGACAATCTGTAGTAAAATATTGAAAAAAAAACCCAAAAGAACGAGAAAACTTTCAAACCCAAGAATGAAATGTTATTCAAAACGAAATGTGTGTACTTTAATTAAACAATAATAAGCAAGAAAAATATGAAAAACATAAATGTGTCTTAGGTCAAAAGTGAATCTCTTTCCTGGGAGTGAGTACATGTAGTTTACAACATCATTTCAAAGTAATAACGTCATGCCCCTTAAAAATTTCTACTTGCAGTTTGTCAATGTGCTAACGTGAGCCAAGAATAGCTTCCACAATCCAATTTGAACATGATGACCTGATTTTTAATCTACACCCTACCCACCCCCATTCCAATCCCCCCCCCCCCCCAAAAAAAAGAATAAACTAAACCTAACCTGACACTCATCCCATTTTCTAAAAAGTTATCCAAGGAGTAAAAACGAGACAAAAATCTTTAAATATGGAAACATCAAAATATGAGAGAGACATAAGAAAAACATCAAGACACAAACAGTATCCCTTCCCATTTCCACAGCGATGTCTCTGTTTTTCCCCATGGTCGTAAAGGCAACAAAGCTGTAAGCATTTCATCCAAACTTGGTGCTTGTGTCTCCAATAATATATTGACGGCAGCTTCTCTTTCCTCACTCTTGTGACGACGCTCATTCAGATCTCAGTAGACATGAACCATACCATACAAAAAGCTGGCAAAATGAAAAAGACAAAATTCAAAAGTCATAAATACGGTACTGTTATAGTCGACTACGGATGAGAAAAAGAAAAACTCATCCGAAGTCCAAGGGACAAACAAAATCATTTCACCTGCCCATAATAATTATTAATTTTAGTAGTAACAGTAGGCTACTGTGTTAAGAATGATAGTACCGGAAAGAATACCGAACAGTATTTATTCATATCATTAATCACCACATGTTCACGTGCATGTGTGAGTGTGTGTGTTGTGTGTGTGAATGGGGGGGGGGTGGGGGAGGTGGCTGCAAGTATCTACTGATGGCAAATATACTACAGTGGAGTCCACTTATAACGAGTCCGGAAATAACGAGAAGTCTGTTATAAAGGCACTGTTCTAAAACCCCGTTTTCTTCTCCTCTTTACCTTTGTAAACAAAATACTGCTATAGCGCTATCAGACACACTTGGGAGTCGGTTATAGCGGAATATTGCTACTGCTGTGCACAGTGCATAGGCCAGTTATACATAATGTAAAACCTCGCCAGTTGAGAAACTTGGTGATCTTGTGAAACAAAGCATGGGAGAGCCCACGTGTGTCAACATCAACAATGAAGGCCGGAGCGACTGAGTAGGGAGGGTGTGCCATGCGCAGACAAGCAGAACGCATCGTGTGATAGGCCAGTTTAGATTATCAAGGCCTGCCATGCCTCTCACTTCTCCGATGCGGGGATGGAGAGGTCACAGCAATGTGATCGAGGGAGTGAATGTGTGACGTGCCCAAGCAGACAGAATGCACCACAGGGTGGGGTGGGGTGGGGTGGGGGGAAAATACAGCGGGCGAGTTAGCCCAGGGCCCTTTCTTTCTGATCGCCAACGCCGAGCTGTCAGTCCACATCGCTAGATCTAGCGCTAGAGAAACAAACCTGATTCGATTTTTGATCAAGTAAGACCTAGAGGTCATGTTGAAACAAAATCATCATCAGGGGAGATATCAAAAGGAAATAAACAGAACACCAAACTCATAGATTAGGCCTACTTTACAGTTTCTCTTGAATTTATTACTGGATCCCTTATAGCGAGAATCCTGCTATAACTATAACGGACATTTTGCTTCGGTCCCTTCCCTCTCGTTTTAACAGGATTCCACTGTAACAATATGCATGCACAAACATATACCTCCAAGAAACTCGCTTTTTTACTGCAGCTGATACTTGTAAGTCGCATATATAACTCAAGTAGCCTATTACAAGTTGCAAAAATGTTATGCCAGGAATAACCAAAAATTCAACTTTTCTTCTAAAAATAAAATCACAGACTCGTTAAAGTGTGTGCTCTAATGGCCTTGACAGACAAGATAAAAAAAAACGCAGCGGGAATTTTTGCAGTCTGGTGATACACTGTAGACAACGGAAGTGGTCACACGAGTGACATGCGTTATTTTCAGTCCTGGCGTAGCAGACGTGTGTCGCCCACATTCTGCTATGCCACGACACACCAGCATTTTGGTGAAGCAGACAGTTCAAGTGACACGGACACATGAGATGTATTTATTGCCTGTGCATTCCTACAATAGTTGTGTTTTTTCTCGCTTCTCATTCAACACGGCAATATTCCCAGAGCAACCATGTCTTCTTATAACGAAACAGAGCGTTGGATTTTGGAAACAAAGTGCAGAAACATCACTTGAGACAACACAAGTGAGGAATATAAAAACAAAATTTTTAAACCTTCAAATGTGGCTTTGGGCATACGAAAGTAATTGAAGAATTTCGACTCATCTTCTCGAAGTTCTTCATATAAGGTGTAAAACTGTCCTCTTAGCAATCTCTGAGAAACAATGGGATGAACCCAAAATCTTCTTTGTCGCTTTCTTCTCATCACCATGACCAAAGCCACCCTGACTGTCCTTTCGTTCATGTTAAACTGAGCTGTATCGTTAAATGTAGCCCCGAGTGGCAGCAACACAAAAGTATGCGGCACTTTCTGCGCATCTGCTTGCAAAGCCGTAACTCAAATGTATTTCAATGAAATCACTTGTCACAACAAATAATGACACAGGCAGTGATAAGCCCTCTTTTTCTCTTTACACGGAACAAGGGCCCTGTCAGAGAAGACACTGATCAGTGCTTCCGAAAGCTGAAGCTGAAAAGTAAGAAAAACTCTGCCAGGGGTGTGCAGGCCACAGCAGGGTCCCGGGACAGCCCCCACTGGGGGGTCAGGAAGAAGAACCCGAAGAAATAGAAATGTAGTGCTTTTAAGGGATTGAAAATGGCATTTGGGGGCCTGTTTGATGAGAATACCGACAACTCATAACATTAACACCTATTTTTTTACCCCAGTTTTGTCTTGTTTGATTTCTTCAACAACGTTATCTCCCCTTTGATTTGCTGGCTAAGTTTATAAGCAGGTTCACAATAGCATTGCTACTACAAGTACTACAAATCACTTAATTCATCATCCCACTATTGACAGAAGGAAAACCTGGGAAAAACGAATAGATGTGTGTACCTTGACGATAGAGTATAGTTACCCAGCATATCATATACCCTCATTTTCCGTCATTTTCACATTTGATTGTCGATCGTCGAAACCTCGGAACACCACTTCGAATCATTCTTGATATTAGTAGTTTGAGCATAAATTTCTTTCACCGCGGCCCTTTTAAGTTATATTTCTTTCTGATAGAGATTTTTTAAATCTAAGATCACAAGTCAATTTACTTGATCAAAACGCAGATATTCCAACCGCAGACACAATTCGAAGATAAAAAGAAAAAATGAGTGAATGAAAGAAAGGAAGAAATTGGCACAAAAAATTCCCTTTCATGACATGCCAGATTTTTATCAACTCGGTGGATGTATAGTGGGATAATGGCTGACTACAGATGCGCAATCTGGCAGTTTCCTATAACTAACTTTCTGGATAATTACTGTAAATATCCCGTACTTAGGGAAGATCCAGGTCAGCGATCACAGAGAATATTGATAAAACCTTTCAAAACATCGTTTTTTTGTTTTTTGCAGAAAAACGTCCTTTGACATCTGTTCTATCAAGTCATAATGAATAAAATATAGAAAAACACTCTAAATTAACTTACTCATTCGCTACGCCGAGCTGTGGGGGGCGGCGCGGCTAAAGTGCCGTCAGTACGCTAAGCCACCCCCGGCGGCTCGAGAACCGACATTCAATTTTAGCTTGGTTTCTATTCCAATCCACATATCCATGTTAAAATAAAGGTCATAATATAAAGGTGACTTCCGGATCAAGCGTTTCCACCGAAAATCGAAAGTTTTGATTCAGTTTTGAAACACGATTTCGAAGTTTATGCGACATTGTTTTATCGCGAAGCCCAAATTATAGCCCAGACACCAATCTTAGTACTTTTACACAACAAAATGTATCATTATTTTGCTCACTAAAGAAGTGTAGGACTCGTCTTTATGATATTGATACTACTGGACTCAAATTGCCAGTGCACTGTAATTGAGAAACCAATATTTTTGAGTGCTAGATCTAGGCCTAGATCTAAATAGTCAAAATATTTTTGTTCTCCCCAAATTCACTACTTTATGGTGAATTTACTCTAAAAGAACCACAGATGTATTTTACAAACCATACTGAAAATGTTGGTATATAATATGTTGATATTTATTTGAATTTATGGCCCCCAAGACCTGTGAACTGCGCACTAATCATCATCTCATTTCGCCCTCCCGAAAAAAATTCGTCCACAAGCCGAAAAAAATACGTAGCGAATGAGTTAAAGAGGCATTTGAAAAGAGCATATTGAACTAAAAATCCTTTTTTAAAATCCCTTTTTACCTGTTTTTCTCAAAACCTGCTTTTTGACATATAATGTGACCTCTCGGTGAAAGGAGTTTTCAAAAACTACAGAAGCAAGAAGCTTCATCAAATTTGGGATACAAATGCTTAAGATCTATTCAGTGGATCTATTTGAGGAAACTGGGAAATATTGGTAACTTGTGGAATATTCAATTTTTTTGTAACATATACTATACATACCCAAAAATTTTGTCAACTGACTCTCCGGGGTACATTGACTTTGGGATCCCTTTTTTATTTTTAAAGATAGGTCAAAATCCTTACATAGATCAACAGTCCACATAGGTTTGCACTTGTACGGCAAATTTCAGGCTGTAGTTTCAATATTTTCAATGAAATTCTTCCGTACAAAGAAACTGGTTTGAAAATCCAAGATGGCTGCCACAAAAAACCATTTTCAGGAAAAAATCAACAAAGTCACCCTTAGTACATCCTACTTACCTCTATGAACTTCTTGCACAATTACATGAAAGTGAATAAAAGTAATTCGTTTAGAAAATGTTTCCAGAAGTGTACGTCTCCCCTTAAGCAAGATGATACGAGGTGAGAAGGCTACGGATCCTTTGTCACGAAATTTCGATAGCCCTATGCTATCGCACTTTTTTTAACGGATAGAGTATATAATGGTGAGGGAGCAAGTATAGAACTGTCAGATAGTACAGATTTCCGTAATAATACGGAAGATTGGAAGCAGTAATTGATAGAGATATGCAGGATAAGCTCCAAATAAGGTTATTCTAAATGCTGAACCAACATTCATCTTTGATAGGACAGAGTAAAGTAACAGGAAAGCCTTGAAAACTCCACAAACAACAGAAGTTCTAGATTGTCCTGTTAGGCATTCAATACAGTTATCCAAAAAGTGCTCCAGCATGATACCAAATGAGATATTAGTGCACCTTAGTCTTCTATACTATCAAATTTAATTAAAAAGAAAAACATTATACTTACGTCCAGAACAGTACATAAGTCTGTATGTGCATTAAGGAATATACAAAACTTCATACAAATTGCAAATAATGTTATTTGAACATTAAAATAAACATAGTCATTTCAGTGGAACTGTAAATGAGACCACAGGTATTACAAGATACTATTTCACGCCTAACAAATCAACCACCAGAACAAATTAAACACATTAAATTAACCATTAAATTAACCATTACCTTAAAAGAGCAAAAGACATGGTTTATAGCATGACCCGTGAAACACTTTATACAACACCTTAGACAAGGACAACAGTTAGTATGAAGGATATAAATATAATTATATGTGTCGCGGTGTAGTGGAGTCAGGCGCTCGTTAATTTCTGGGCATATGAGGTTATTGGTATCATCTTAAAGCCTGTACATTTGCCTTCCTTTTGGTGAAAAAATACCCATCTGTCTTGAATAGAAGTCGATATATTTGCTATTGAAGGAGGTCAGGGTCGCCTGGTTTCAGAGGTAAAATTAGCGAGAAAATGGCCACCAAAGTTTGGTAACTAACTTCCATAGCCTGAAAGTCCTTAGAAACCGAAAATTTACATTTTTTGTGCCTTTAAACAATGTTTTTGAGCAAAATCCACACAAAAATGTTTTTAAATGGACATAAATAAAAGGTGTTGAGACAAAAAAAGAAAATTTGAAAAATAAATGCCCATTTGCCAAAAAAATGCAGATTTCTTTGATTTCATTATTTTGGCGAGCACCTGATTTCACCATGATGCCTCACCCTCACATATTATTAAATAAAAGAACACTATCTATAATTTCTTATATGACATAACCGCAAAGAGGTGTTCAGCCAGTCCGATTTCATGCCATAAAATGTGGTACCCTAACAGTAAAGGTGTAGCAGTATAAGCCTCGTCCTACCAGATTGAAAGTCGAGTAGACTACACTTCTTCTTGGGTGTACCTCTGCTAGAGCTAAAGGGGTAACCGACTGAAAGATCCTGATCTCATAGTGCAGTTGACTTTTATGTAAACATAGCCATTTTATTTAACCCTATCCGTACATCGTGTTTTACTATCATATCCATACCACGAGGGGAACTCTGTGCCACCACTTTCAAAGAGGAAATTTACTCGTTAATGCGATCCGTACGCTTTTGCATAGCAGTCTGTTTAAAAGATTTTTTGAGAAATACTGAAAGTTTCAAAGAGATCTCCTTACTAGAAGTATTCTAAAATGTGAAAAATACAATCCCGAGGGTACAAAATGACCCAAGGGCGTACGGATAGGGTTAAGAATGTAGAATCATCCCTTGACCGACAGACATGTCATTTTTGAAGGTACTCTTAACCCTTTGAGCCCTGACCCCCTGAAGCTACCATGCCCCTCTGCCTGAGCTCCTGGACAATTCATGCATTCATTCATATCAAAGTCACAACCATCACATTCCATGTCCCACTCAGGGTAGTCCTCACCATTACCGACATCCAATTCAGAAAGATCTGGAAAATAATCGATAATATCCTGTGCAGTAAACATTGTTTTCCTTGCACGTTTTGTCCTGGAAGGCCAGGCTGGGGATAGGGTCTCACTCACAGGTGTACTGGTGGCTAGGCATACACAGGCAATTTGACGCGTCACCAGTGTACCGGTGGCACGGCATACAGGCAATTTGACGCATCACCAGTGTACCGGTGGCTAGGGCTCAAAGGATTGATATATGCATACTGACTAGAGCTGCTTTAGTTTTGGATAGAAATTCATTTTGAATTTTGCCCGGAGGCCAAAAACGCCTAATCTTTCTTATTTTAGAACCGCTAAGGGATCTCAAATGCGTGAAACTTCCTAAAGTGATCTCCTAAATTTTTCGTCCTTATCCAAAAAGGAGTAAGTGCTCATTCCTACACCTACCCTAAGATAAGGGGGTATGGAAAATGTGAGGGAAATAAACCTGACGCTGCTGGGATCAAACTCTAGACCTATGAGTAAACAGGTGAACACCAATACCTGTTGAGCCGAGCCCTTTGTAGTAGTAGGCACTGACATACTCTAAAGCTTGTTAAGAAAATAACATTTTCTCCTTTCTATAAAGACATCAAAAGACAAAGCAGCAGGAAAGGATACAAATAATCCTCCTAACAAACCACTACTTAACAAGATTCTTCTGCTCATGAAGTAGGAATTCCATTTTGATCCAGCTTTCAGCAACAAGAAAACCTGGGGCAAACAAAGGAACAAGAATAGAAGTAAATCAAAGTTTTCAGTTTTAGTAAGAGTTTTACAGAACATGCAACTAACACAGGTCATATTATAAGTCCAATGGTGAAGATTAGCGGTGTCACTAGAGAGTTAACATACAAAGAAAAAAGAAACGAAGGAGGAGAGATAAGGATGATACATGTCTGATAGGAGAGAAGGTGTGCAAACCACACCACAGCACCCGCCAAAGTAAATCTAACTACATTTCAATGTTAGAAAATCACAGGAATATGCAAGCAAAAATAGAGAAAATAGAGAACGAAACATTTGCAGGTTTTTTTTAAACACACAAAAAAAGTATGGTCCAGGCGAACAAAATTTAACAAGGAAAAGACATCAATGGGAAGGGTATGAGTGGGGCTAAGCAATCAGCTTTGGGCAAGTGGGTGAAAAGATGGTTGAACAGTGAGAGATTTGGAGTCTACATAACTTGATAAGTAGGCACCACGTCAGAGTAGTCCTACAATGGATTCCTGCCCACACTGGGATACCGGGAAATGAAAGAGCTGATGCTCTGGCAAAGAAAGGAGCTAGTCTCCCTCAGCCTGAAATTCCTACAAACTACACCACCTGCTGCCAAATGATCAAGTCAAACTTCAAGGAAGAGTGGATGAATGATTGGGCCACAGGTACGACAGGAAGGAGGATGTATGGCCACATGAATAAACCACTGGTCAAAGATCCAATCAATGAGTTGAGGAGGGGAGATCAATCCATAATCTTCCAACTTAGAACACAACATGTACCCCTCAACCAACATCTCAACCGAATAGGAGTAAAGCAGTCTGCTGCCTGCCCACTATGTGACTACCCCTCAGAGACAGTGGAACATCATCTGTTTTTCTGTAGAAAACTAACTGATTTAAGGGGATGTTTTCTTCCCAAGCTACCCCACACATCTAATTGCCTCTACTCCTCAAGACAACAATTAGAACAAACATGCAACTATTACCGAATGGCATCATACAGAAGAGTTTTATTTAACGCTCAGATGCTACTGGATCGCTAACAACAACAACAACAACAACAGTGAGAGATCATAGGTAACTCACAATCATAAGACTACTTATGCAATAAGCTGAAACAAGACAAAACATAGTGGCACACAAACAGTTGCACTTCCCAGACAATGATAGCATGCTTGAGAGAGAGAGAGAGTAAGGGGGAGAGAGAAGAGAAGAGAAAGAGAGAGAGAGATAGAGAGAGAGAGAGAGAGAGAGAGGGAGAGAGAGAAGGATGCATTGTAAAATACTGCCAAAAACCTCCTGGAAAAAAAAAAAAACAACCAAAGAAGGTACATAAAAATACACAACAGCAGTATGGGATTTAGATGATGCATACCGACAGCATGACCGCAGTTATGAAGTAGAATATAAATCCCCATAGCCCTGTGAGTCCCATGATTCCAGCTGTAGCCCCAGACAACGCCGACATCGATGTTCGGCAGTAGTCCAATACGGAGGCATTCTGTCGCAAGGACAACTCGCTGTACGCAATGCCATCAGCTGAAACGTTAAAACATTTGAGTTACATACATATCACGTCGACACTAAAAAAACAGCCATTTTACATGGTGTTCCATGAAAGCAAAGGAGAAGATCAACAGGGTTTTTTTTACTGAGATACCAATGAAACAAAACTTGAGTGTAAGTAACACACACTGTACTTATTTTTTCTTCAGAAATTATGAATGTAATATGTTTCATGACATGGTGGAATCAGGCGCTCGTCAAATTTTAGACACGAGGAGTTATTGATATAATTTTAAAGCATGTTCATTTGTCTTGAATTTCGTGAAAAAATATGCATATATCATGAACAAAAGTCGAGATATTTGAGACTGAAGGAAGTGGGGGTCGCCTGATTTCAGAGGTAAAATTAGCCAGAAAATGGCAACTTCCAAAGCTTGAGAGTCATTAGAAATTGTAAATTTACACATTTGAGCCTTAAATCAACATTTTTCAGTAACATCCACAAAGAAATGTATTTATTAAAGGACCTTAAAGGGGTTAAGTCAAAAAACAAAAATTCAATAAAAATTGTCAAACATACAGAAAGATGCCAGTTTCTTTAATTTCATTATTTTGACGAGCGCCTGATTTCACCACGATGCCTCAGATATATATTAAATAATTTTACATATGATATAAGGATTACTGTATCCTTTTCTTTTCTTTCATACTTCACTGTCAGAAAATTGTAAATACAATGCTTAGACCAACGTTTTCGGAATTTTCTGTTTGGTTCTTTCCGTAATCCTTACTAAAAATATTTGATCTCAAATCAAAAGATCTAATTTTTCTCTTGATATAAATTAGCACCAGGTTCAGTGTCTGTAAAAACATTCTTTTCCTCATTTTATGATTGATTAGTTTTATTTCTGCTTACTTTTTATTAATAGCTTAATAAAAACACAGATATGAAAGTGAAGAGTCTCTCGTTTGATACACTACACTATCATCATAAATAAATTTAAGTTAGGCCTAGAGAATGTATACAAGCTGTCTACGTTCTTGTCTAATGTTCAGTGCTTCCAAGCGTGGCATCGAATCCCGAGGGTTTTTTTTCTTCATCTGAGCCTATAATGAAAAAAAAAAATAGACTCACAGACCAAGGAAAGTCATTTTTTATTGAACTTTAACCAGGCCTAAATTAGTAAAAGGAAAAGTATCTAGAGGCTATACTAAGGCCTACTTTGTACAGAGCTCCTCTTGGGGGTAAAACAAAAATGTGCATGCTTCATCACTACATAAATAAAAAACTACAAGGTAACAAGTTATAATATGGGAAAAATTTGTTGGTCAGTTAGAAGAGGACAAAAAAAACTTCCATGACCGGGATCGAACCAACGCTCACAAGTTAATGGTTCAGCTTCAAACGTAGACTCGCTATCCCTTCGGTCATCAGAACTTCCGAAAAATAAAGGTAGATTAAGCTTCATATATAACAAACGGCGTTTTATTTAGCACTGGCGCTAATCACAACGCGGCGTTGAAAATAGGCACTTCCTTGACAAAAACAGAAGATAAAAAATGATGTAAAAACACAAAAGTAAATTAATTTGGTCGTCTACAAAGATGCTACGGCTATAACTTTTCGAATCAAGCTGAACTATGCGGGTCGCCATTTAGTTTTGCCCGGAAGTTTTCGCGTTACTCCTCTCCCCCCTCCCCCTCTTTCTTTCTCTCTCACTGCCCACACACAAAATTGCACGCTTTCCACACAAGAGCGCTGGAACATTAGTTCACGGTGAACGTTACACTGGTTGGCTTATTACGATGAAGGCACACTGGGTGAGAATAGCCAAAAGGCTCGCCTTCGTGAGAATAGAGGTGGCCAACTTTAAAAAATTAATTAATGTCGGAATTGCGTGCATAGCATAGCAAAGTATGATACCTTGCACGCAGTTGCTTGCGTATAGCAAAAATGTTTTGGTGCACACAATTGCGTGCGTATAGAGGCTAGATCTAGATCTAGATTTTAGATAGAATAGACTTCAGATAGACACTCCCAAACTCTAGATTCTAACTCTTTCCCCAGCCCTAACCGACAATAAAAGAGACTAGCGCTTTTTCGGTAGTTCCCATCCCGCAATTGTTACTCAGGGTTTTGGCCCCAAGAGTAGGGGGGTTTCAGGGGAGGCAGCCCCCCTCACCTAATAAAAATAAGGTGGGGGGGTTTCAGGGGGGTAATTTTACCATAATTTGACTTCTACCTCTTTTCTCACCGCGGGTGAGAATAGCGCGAGTCTTTTGGCTATTCTCACCCGCTGTGCGTTAACCGCTATAGCCTAGACCTAGGCCAACCAATTTTGCGTTCACCCTGAACCACAGAATTCTACACTGTGATAACAGAAAAATTGTAGAATTCTGTGCCGTGAACAAACGTTCCATTACTACTGTCAGCCTAAGAGAGAGAGAGGAGTACAGTAGCGCAAGAACTTCTGGGCGAAACAAAATGGCGACCCGCGTAGTTTGGCTCGATTCGAAAAGTTAAATAGCAGTAGCATCTTTGTAGACGACCAAATTAATTTACTTTTTTGTGTTTTAACATCATTTTTAAAACTTTGTTTAAGTCAATTTGATCGTCCACAACGATAGACAGTATATTCAGAAAGAGACAGAGAGAGAGAAAAGGGGAGGAGTAGATCTTGCGAGAACTTCGGGGCTAAATAAAATGGCGACCCGCGTAGTTCGGCTTGATTTGAAAAGTGAAATAGCCACAGCATCTTTGTAGATGATCAAATTAGCTTACTTTTGCCCTACGTACTTTTTTTGTTGCTTTTATCCATTTGATCATCCACACCGATAGAAAGTATTAAATTAAGAAAAACAGGTCTTGCTTAACACCGGGTGAGAATAGCCAACGGTGGCAAATCTCACCCGGGGTGAGAGGTCGATCATATTTTTATTCTCACCCCGGGTGAGGATAGCCACTTCCTTTGCAGTTGTTAAGTTTGATATCTTAGCTCGCCGCGCATCAAACACATGGATCTCGATGTAGATCTAGGCACAAATAAGGGGGGTATGAACTAACGAAAAAGCACCAAGAGACCTACTCTACTGTCTCTAGTCTAGAGTTAGAGATCTATTTTTTGTTTCATAGTAGTCGATCATTACAGAGAATCCTCCCCAATATTGACAAAGATTTATCAGATCTAAAAATCTAGATCTAGATCTAGATTAAGATCTAGATTTTACATCCAGTCAAAATCAATCATTTTGTGCAAGTCCAAGAGCACAACCAAATTTGGTAAATTTTTACTTTCACTCCCACACACAGATGCACTGTTTCAGGGGTCAAACTGTAGTACTGTTTGCTCCAGATCACACATAAAGCCACAAAAACTGTCGCAAATCAATTATTTTCAGGAAGTGGCTATTCTCATCCGGGGTGAGAATAGAAATACGATCGACCTCTCACCCCGGGTGAGACTTGCGACCGTAGGCTATTCTCACCCGGTTTGAAACAAGACCTGTTTTTCCTAATTTCAGAATACTTTCTATCGATGTGGATGATCAAATTGATACAAGCCAAGAAAAAATTACGTTATAGCACAAAAGTAAGCTAATTTGATCGTCTTCAAAGATGCTATGGCTATTTCACTGTTCGAATCGAGCCGAACTACGCGGGTCGCCATTTGTTTTGCCCGGAAGTTCTCGCAAGATCTAGATTTACTCCTACCCCCTCTCTCTCTCTGTCTCTTTCTGAATACTGTCTATCGGTGTGGACGATCAAATTGACCAAAACAAAGTTAAAAAATGATGTTAAAACACAAAAGTAAATTAATTTGGTTGTCTACAAAGATGCTACGGCTATTTAACTTTTCGAATCGAGCCGAACTACGCGGGTCGCCATTTTGTTTTGACCGGAAGTTCTCGCGCTACTCCTCTCTCTCTCTCCACTGCCCACAGACAAAATTGTACGCTTTTAGTAGGCTACAGTTGTAATGGAACGTTTGTTCACGGCACAGAATTCTACAATTTTACTGTTATCACAGTGTAGAATTCTGTGGTTTAGGGTGAACGCAAAATTTGTTGGCCTAGATCTAGGCTATAACGGGGAACGCGCACCGGGTGAGAATAGCCAAAAGACTCGCCTGCACCATTCTCATCCAGGGTGAGAATAGAGGTGGCCTTATTTTCAAGACAATTTCAAATCTAACTGTAAAATATCAAATTATGGGTAAAACCAGGGGGGCATGCCCCCCTGTAACCCCCCAGATTTTCTTTTACCCCAGTGGGGCAGGCCCCCCTGGAACCCCCCCAATTGGTCCAAAACACCTCTATCTCGGTTAAAAACAATAAAATATGGAAGTGGCTATTCTCATCCGCCCGGAAGTTCTCGCAAGATCAACTCCTCCCCTCTTCTCTCTCTCTCTGTCTCTTTCTGAATACTGTCTATCGGTGTGGACGATCAAATTGACCAAAACAAAGTTTAAAAATGATGTTAAAACACAATAAAAGTAAATTAATTTGGTTGTCTACAAAGATGCTACGGCTATTTAACTTTTCAAATCGAGCCGAACTATGCGGGTCGCCATTTTGTTTTGCCCGGAAATTCTCGCGCTACTCCTCTCTCTCTTTCTCTCTCCACTGCCCACAGACAAAATTACGCTTTTAGTAGGCTACAGTTGTAATGGAACGTTTGTTCACGGCACAGAATTCTACAATTTTTCTGTTATCACAGTGTAGAATTCTGTGGTTTAGGGTGAACGCAAAATTTGGTGAACGCGCACTAGGTGAGAATAGCCACAAGACTCGCCTGCACTATTCTCACTCCGGGTGAGAATAGAGGTGGCCATAAAATATTGGAAGAGGCTAGCCGTACTTAATGACGGCTAGACTCGCAGTCTAGCCGTACTTATTCTTAATATGATGGCTAGACTGACCATTTACAAAAAATAGGCCTACTGAATTGGAAATATACATTTTTAGTGTGCAGTACCTTTTAAAGCATTTGTATTTGAGACGAAACCAGGTGCCTTAATGACAGTGCATGTATTTTAAACCTCCTGTTTTCTTATGTTAATAGGGCCTAAGATAAGTACGGCTAGACTGGCAGTCTAGCCGTACTTAAGGACGGCTAGGCTAGACTGTCAGGCTAGCCGTACTTAATATTGATGGCTGAATTGTAAATGAAATTTTTAGTTTGCAATGTCTAAAGTATTTGTATTTCAGACAAAATCAAAACCAAAAGGTGCCTTACTGACTTGCATGTATTTGATTTTGAACCTGAATAATTACTAAATCTAGATCTAATGAGACCTGTGTACTTAACAGGCTTGAGTCGATTGGGCCAAACCTAGATCTAAGTACGGCTAGACTGGCAGTCTAGCCGTACTTATGTACGGCTAGCCACTTCGTAAAATATTTCAAAAGGCCACCTCTATTCTCACCCGGAGTGAGAATAGTGCAGGCGAGTCTTGTGGCTATTCTCACCCGGTGCGCGTTCACCAAATTTTGCGTTCACCCTAAACCACAGAATTCTACACTGTGATAACAGAAAAATTGTAGAATTTTGTGCCGTGAACAAACGTTCCATTACAACTGTAGCCTACTAAAAGCGTACAATTTTGTCTGTGGGCAGTGGAGAGAGAGAGAGTAGCGCGAGAATTTCCGGGCAAAACAAAATGGCGACCCGCGTAGTTCGGCTCGATTCGAAAAGTTAAATAGCCGTGCCGTAGCATCTTTGTAGACAACCAAATTAATTTACTTTTGTGTTTTAACATCATTTTTTAACTTTGTTTTGGTCAATTTGATCGTCCACACCGATAGACAGTATTCAGAAAGAGACAGAGAGAGAGAGAAGAGGGGAGGAGTTGATCTTGCGAGAACTTCCGGGCGGGTGAGAATAGCCACTTTCATTTCAAAAACTATTAATTTGCGACGGAAATGAAGTTGATATTCGTGTTCTGGGCATCAATATTTAGTATAAAATAGACAACTGGTAGCCGAGTGTGAGACGGGAGGGAAAGTAAAAAAATACCCCAAATTTAATCTGTTTTGTCACAACCACCACCAAGTCGTCCAACAAGTCAACAAGCCCAAGCCCAAGCCCAGGGCCAAGTGCAGGAGTGTCACTGACACTGTCAGCTGTCTCACTTGTTCCTTCAAATTATGTAGATTTAGGGTGAAGAAAATATACTTAAACGAAAGTCAAAACTATACAGGTGATGTAGGTATAACCATAAAGCTGTACAACATGCACAGAGTCTGAATTCAAACAAAACCAACATACATTTTCTGCTTTTCCTCGTTCTTACAGCGATCGTCGCCATTTTGTTGTTCGTTTCGGTGAAGGCGCTGAGAAAGAAAGAAGAGTTACTGTTTCAGAACTGTTTCTTGAGTTCTTTTATTTCGAAAACGAATAAAGCTAGAACATTATTCACCGTGGAAAACAAACGATCAGATAATAATAGATCTAGTAATAGTTTCCATCAATGGTTGTTTCTAGATCTAGATCTAGTTTGTTTAAGGTAAGAAAGGAATAAAAGGACGAAGAAAGACATTTCTAGAAAGGGGGGAGGGGGGTAAAGAAAATTGTTCTGACTAAGATGGACTTGAAAAAAGATTTAACTAAAAGTGGAAGTAAGAGGTAATAAAAACCACTATTATTTTCCTTCACTTCATCTGTTTCCTACACGCTTATCTCCTTATTAGATATTTTAGATGGTAAAAGGTTTTAATATGTACTTCTCTCTTCGACACACAAACACACAAACACACACACACACACACACACACACACACACACACACACACACACACACACAAACTCTCTCTCTCTTTCTCTCTCTCTCTCTCTCTCTCTCTCTCTCTCTCTCTCTCGCTCTCGCTCTCGCTCTCTCATTAGAACTGTCTCTTTTTGGCTTCCCTTATGCTGACCGGAGTAATGTATTCAGATCTTAGGCGGAGGCTGACTTGTTTGACAGGGTAATCAAAGTGAGACACGGAACCATATTATATAGATGAGATCATACGCCAATAGGTTTCCTATATTAGGTACATAATAAATAAAATATAATATTCTTACTCGAGGAGACATCACTGAGCGTGAATGGAAACAATTAATCGTGAATTCATTGTTTATTCAACCGCCAAAATTATCGGGAAAATATCTCATTAAATTTGTTTCCACTTTGGGCAAACGTAAGCATTACTATATGTATTGTGCGAATTATTGTCTCAAGATTTTTAAATATTAAATATAACTAAAGATGTGAATACATATGCAAAAAGCCAAGAGATGACGTACTAACAATGTTTTGAAATACATGACCAATCATCAATTTGATTTAAAAATTGCCGGTTTTTTGTCTAGCCTTTCGCCGTTGCGCTTTTCCCTTTCGTCAACCCGCAGCCACTTCCTGAATCGTCAGCCACATACCAACCTTTGACACGGGTCAAACTTCCATCTATTTATAGGTAGTTACCGGAACATGTATAGGTGAAGTGATGTGCCGTGATAGTCGCGATATATTATTTATTGAGATTGTTTTGGTCTCTCTTTACTCATCACCACGAGAATTTCCTGAAGTTTTTCCCTGGACTCTGACTTTACTAAAATCTCGAATCTAGAACTAGATCTAGAGTTGTAATCTAGTGGCAGGTTGCAGATTTCTGTTACCCAGTACATTCAAGAGATTAAATATATTGGACTAGACTCTAGACTCTAGTAGAAGACTCTTCTACTCCTACTTCTAAACCTTCGAGATTACAAAGGCCAAGCCTAGGCTTGTAAGGATTCGTTTTGTTAAAAGTGTTGTTTAACACAAAGTCTAAGAAGTTAGCAAACCTAACACATTTTTTTCTAACGAAATGAAGCTTAAATTGACGTTTATATTGTCAATAAGAGATCAAGTTTAATCACTTAATCATTTAAGTAAGGAAGTGGCTATCCTCACCCGGGGTGAGAATAAAAACCCTACGATTGACCTCTCACCCCGGGTGAGACTTGCCAGCGTTGGCTATTCTCGCCCAGTGTGAAACAAAACCTGTTTTTCCTAATTCCGAAATACTTTCTATCGGTGTGGATGATCAAATTGACAAAAGCAAAGAAAAAAATGACGTTATAGCACAAAAGTAAGCTAATTTGATCGTCTACAAAGATGCTATGGCTCTTTCATTTTTCAAATCGAGCCGAACTACGCGGGTCGCCATTTTATTTTGCCCAGAAGTTCTCGCAAGATCTACTCGTCCCCCTTCTCTCTCTCTCTCTCTCTCTCTCTCTCTCTCTCTCTCTCTCTCTCTCTCTCAGCAATTTATTAAATCTGCAACCTGCAACTAGATTACAACTAGATCTAGATTCGAGATTTTAGTAAAGGCAGAGTCCAGGGAAAAACATCAATTAAATTCGTGTGGTGCAGATGAGTAAAGAGAGACCAAAACAATCTCTCTATTGCGACTATCATTGCACATCACTTCGCCTTATACATGTTCCGGTAGATTTTACTACCTATAAAAAATGAAAGTTTGATCCGTGTCAAAGGTTGGGAGGTGGCTGACGATTCGGGAGGTGGCTGCAGGTTGACGAAAGGGAAAAGTGCTTCGCCGTTATAGGAGCCTGTGTCAGAATTTGGTCATGATCTGATTATTGGACGGGAAAAAAGAAACCCAAAACAAGCACTCACTCACAGCAGCAATGAGATTATTGGGAGTTAGGCAAGTTTAGAACTACTTTTAATCTCCTTGCTTTTACATTATCAGTATCAGTGCCCGTGACTGCTCACGATAGTGGCCAGAACGGGGTGAACAGGGTTTATGTGGCAATGAAACAGTTTTGAGTGTAGTGCACTCATTCCCTTCACCTCTTTGGGGTAGACTCTGCCTGTCGAATTGTAACCTATATACTCAGTGCCTGTTGCTGCTTATGAGAATGGCTTCATGGGGTCAACAGGGTATTTATGTGGCAATGAAGCAGTTTTGAATGTTATGCACAGTGTTCACTATTCACTGGTCATTATGAATGCCTATTTACATTTAATTTATGCACGAGGTTTACGTCTACGGGTGAATTTAACTGCCACGATGTTCCAAAATTAAGAAGGGAAGCAGTGATTATTTCATTATACAATAGCCTATTGTTTGTCAATGAATGTATTTATTGTCTTTTTGAGGGTTCAAGTAGGTTGCTTGAGTTTTTAGATGCCCCCTTATTTAATTTCTCATTTTGCTGATTTGTTCATTTGACACCGCTTTTGTATTTCTGTGTTGGACAGTCACTGATCCTTTTGTTTACACTCCAAGTAAGAAAAGAGCTTTAACCCATATTTTAGGCTAGATCTCAATGCCTGTCCATCCCCCGTTTTGGGTGTTGCTTTAAGGGACTTGATAGCAGGGTTTTTTTAACACTCGCTTAATGTTTATGTAAGATCTGACTCACACGGAAAAGTTGCTAGTGTCTGGCATCTTTGATGATCTCCTCATGCTGAAAGGCTGAAATGTATATTCAACTCTTTTCTCACATTTTCTTTACTCGATTTTGGAAGTCGCGATCGATTGGAAAAAAAATGTGTCGCCCTCTACAAGACGTAGTGATCAATCGCTTTGTAGGTTTCTTTGTTTTTCAAACTGTTGAGAAAGTAGACCATTGCTCCTGTTTTTTTCTGGCCACTGCAGCCATTAGAAAGAAAAATCAAATGGGGAAGGGGAGGGAGGGGGGATGGGGTCTTTCTTTGTTTTGTGAAGTTGTTCTAGAGTCAACTGTAAACATGAACACACATCCGACGGCCCTCTGGAACACTCAGCTCAGCTTCTTGTTAAATACGCAAGACTGCATCATTATTGAAGCAGCCTTGAAAACTAAAGTCGTATGTGGTGTCGGTGGTCTATAGTGGTTAGGCTCTCAGAGTCCCAACCGTAAGGCCGTGGGTTCGAATCCGTCAGGGCCCGACGTTGTGTCCTTGAGAAAGGCACTTTACACGAATGTTCCTTTTTTCACCCAGGAGGGAATGGGTACCCTACAATAGACAGTGAAAGATCTTGTAAATCTGAGGGCTTAATCAACTGCTTGCACTGTATGCTTCCCGGGAGGCTGAGAATGTTTCTCGCTAGCCTATGGTGTGCTGGGGAAATATAGTGTAAAACGCATAGAGCTTGCTGTCGAGCGAGAATACACGCTATACTAAATGCTATTTATTACTATAATTTTTTTTCTTCTCAAAGTCGAAAATCGTACATTTCTGGGGAGGAATCTTCTTTTGCTGTTACTGTAAAATCAGAGAATTTGTGTATGGCGTGCCTGCCTTCATTTATTGATGCATTCGGTTTTGATATTTCAGTTCAGTAACTTTATCAGGAGCATTCACTTTTGCTGATTCCATTTCTTTTAGAAGTAGATTTCACAAGGTGCGTGTATCGGAACGTGGCTGTCCCCCCAAAAAAGATCAAATTCTTTGTTGAAGATTTCACTATACAAAGAGTAATAATTTTCCTTTTTCTATCCGTATTCCCTCATTCGCTTACTTATGTCTTTTTTCTGATTAAAATTCAGGCAAACAAAGGCGAAACACTCTCCCACATTACCAAACTTCTGTCTTTCTTTTGATTCAAATTTAGGCAAGTAAAGGAGTCACATTCTCCAATCGTTTGAATATTAAAGAAGATAGTTTGATCTCTTATTGTTCTTTTTCTTGAAGTAGTGAGATTCCTGTTATGAAATTGATTGGTATATTTTATACATTGGTATATTTTGGTATATATATTCCTTTATGTTGTTCTTTGTACTTTCATTTATTGTAGACTGACTGACATGTTTTACCCTTTGGCTAAAAGGAGGTGTGAAAGACTGACGCAATTGAAGCTGCACTGTATAAACGATTAGACCTTCCCAGGGGCTGGAGGGGAGGGGGTAGATGGGGGAGAAGATTGGGGGAGGGAAGGGGAGGAAAAGGGAGATGAAGGAGGAGGACGGGGGGAGAGGAAGGGATAGAGGTAGAAGGGTGGATGAAGGAGGAGAAGAATAGAGGGGAGGAGTGGAAAGAGGAGAGGTAGAAGATGGGGGAGGGGATGAAGAGGAGAGGAGGGAGAGAGGAAGGGAGGAGCTGGTGGAGTAGGAGTTAGGGGAGGGATGCGAGAGGAGGGGAGAGACAAGGAAGGAGGGGGAGAGGAAGTATGGAGGACAGGGGTCAGGAGAGTGTTCGGGTCTTAACAAAGCTAATAACTAGAATGCAGCATGACACTGAAACATGAATGCATTATCATTTTTATTTTTATTCATTATTCATAATAATATTTATGTAAACATAAGTGACATCAAACAACTGCAACTTGGAACTCTGCATGTCTTGCTCAGTTCTAAGTAAAGTAGCCCCGGATCAGAAGATTGAGCGTCTGGCTCAGAGGCTGATGGGGATTTTTCCATTGCTTGTTTTGTCTTTGATGGCTGCAATGCCCTTTCTCTGGTTGTCACCTCTCTGGACTAGATGCCAGGACCAGGCACCAGCGTAACCATTGTTGTAGACGTACTTGAACATCTCGATGATGTCCATACCGCCGCCATCTTGCTCCCAGAATTCTCCTACAACGATTGGTTTGTGCAGGCCGTAGTCGCTAGCCTTGTGCTGAGGAAAGCGACAATACGAGTTTGACAACAACAATGACGATTTGTTATACATCTTGCAGGGAGATATTTGTCTTGGTCGTTTACAAAGGAAGAGATGTTGCAAAGCCCATATGCACTCAAACATGCACACAACATTTAAAGGACATGAATGAATGTATTACGTCCTGAAACACCTCCGCTCCGAAAACAATCTCTCTCTGTCTCTCTCTCTCTCTCTCTCTATCTCTCTCTCTCTCTCTCTCTCTCTCTCTCTCTCTCTTACACACACACACACACACACACACACACACATACACTTACACGCACGCATACACACACGCACGCACACACACACGCACACACACACAAACTCTCTCTCTCTCTATCTGTCTGTCTGTCTGGTTCTTTCTTACTCACTCTCTCTCTCTCTCTCTCTCTCTCTCTCTCTGTCTCTCTCCCTCCCTCTTTCTATCTATCTCTCCGTCTCTCTATCTCTCCCTCACATACACACACACACGCACACACACACACACACACACACACACACATACACGCACGCATACTCACACACACACTCTCTCTCTCTCTCTCTCTCTCTCTCTCTCTCTCTCTCTCTCTCTCTCTCTCTCTCTCTCTGTTTTATTAGTAGTACTGCTCCGGAACATTATAGGTTAATTTGATCAGCTCAGACCTTGTTTGTAGGTTTATATAATTACAATGTCATGTAATTAGCAGCTGATTACGAGCAGGAGAATTTTGCAAGAGAGTTAGGGTCAGTTTTGAGGCTTGTTTGTGTTTTTCGTTTGCTTCATAAAATATCTTTTATCATTTTACACCTCAAAGTAAACTGTTTTGCGTCTTATGACTGTATGCTGTATTTGACTTCAGTCAGTACTGAGTTAGTTTGAACTTTGAACTGATTTTTGCGTGTCTTAACACGTGGTTTACATTTTACAGAAAAATTAGAGAAAATAATTTTAGTTTCTATTAATTCATCGAAAATCAAAGAAGGTTCAATGTCGCAAATGCCAGGAGAAGGACAAAATAGGTTCGGAGACGCAAACCTTAAGAAAATTATATGTGCGAACTTAGCGGTATGCTTCGCCTGACACAACAGTCGCTTTAACAGAACACCTTTCGCCTTAAGGAAGAAATACAAATAACGCTCTCTCCTTTTCACGGTGCCTGACTCAGTAACATAAATATGTTACTAAAATAAAACACTAGAAGAATCCAAAAACAAGAAAAGAGTATAAACAGTAACTGAGATCACAAGTCTTCGTATATCGCATTTTAAAAAAGGAAGTTGGAGAAATGAGACCTTTCAGGCCAGCGAATCATTTATCAAATACTGCTAGAGTCTAGTGATAAACCCAGACAAAGACAAAACTAAACTAAACTAACAGAGTATTCTGAATACTATACCGTAAAGGGAGCGACCTCATCCCACTTTCCTTGCCATGAGTAGGAATGGAACTGGTAGAAGTCGAAAACGCCCTGAAAGAAAATGGCACAAAATGTCAAGGCTGTCACTTCTAGGCGCTTTCATGCCTTAAAGTAAAGCTGCAAATTATATCATTATTACAACTAGTGAGCTTGTTTCCTTCGCAATTGCGACTATTGTCCGAAAGGTAAGTTAAAAAGTTGCACCACTGAACATATGTCTCAATATGATTTCATATCAAACACGATGACCCTCATAAAGGGACGGTTAAAGGTAGAATTATGTAGAGTTCGTTAAGCGTTTTTTAGAATCCCACAAACATTTTCAACGAGGTCGATGCTTTCTATGGCGAAAATAAATAGATATCTACGTTAAAAGCAGGTTTATAATGATTGATACGATTGATTCGAGGCAGGACGGATGAATCTTTGGGGCGAGCCAAGTGCAAGGCAAGCGAGTACTTCAAAGTTAGGGGTCAACATTCAACGAGTTGATGGACCTATAATTTGTGAGAACAAATGTTTGGATATTTGAGAGATTTCACATATGACTCTTGAACTGCCGAAATTAGTCATTCATACCTTCAGGAGGTTGGCGATGAGCAGCCAGAGTATCGAGAAATGTCGGTTATACCTAACGCACCAAGCCAATCGAATTCAGTGTAAGGGAACCTGGGCCAGGCAGATTTTTCTCCTTAGAGGGACAAAAGCTGACATTTTGGCACAGTGTGATCAAATCCTCAAATCAGACATGGTTGTTTTTGGTGGATTTGATCAAACTGTACCCAAATGTAATGACAGCTGTTGCCCCTCCAAGTTCCACTTTAGTACTATTAGTAGTAGCAGTAGCAGTAATGATGGCACTACTACTACTACTACTACTACTACTACTACTACTACTACTACTACTACTACTACTACTACTACTACTACTACTACTACTACTACTACTACTACTACTACTACTACTACTACTACTACTACTACTACTACTACTACTACTTCTACTACTACTACTAAAATGATAATAGGCCTAATCATCATCATCATCATCATCATCATCATCAGCATCATCATCATCATCATCATCATCATCATCATCATCATCATCATCATCATCATCGCAGAAGAAACAAACTCCGATTGAAGCGCCTACTGTATGACGATGTGAACTGCGAAGATGAACAGCAATCATACCCAGACTTCGTTATGAAAGAGCTGGAGCGTGCCATAACACAAATGAAGAGAAGAAGTACTCCAGGACCTGATGATATACCACCATCTTTCCTAAAAGAGCTTGGCCCACTCGCATTGAAAGAATTGCTCAGCATATGTAATCTGTCGCTTAACCAAGCAGCGTGCCCACAAGACTGGCGTAAGGCACTTATCATTCCTCTCTTGAAAGCTGGTAAGTCACCTAGTGATATGACATCCTTTCGACCCATTAGTTTGACATCCTGTGTCGTGAAAGTTATTGAAAGGATGCACGCTGAAAGAATCTACTACCTGTCAGAGAAGAATGAATGGATTGCAGATATTCAGGCAGGCTTTCACCAAGGTCATAGCTGCACGGACCAGATCATCACAATCTGTCAAGGAATTGAGGATGGTTTTCAACAAAAGCCAACATTCCATCGATCAGTCCTAGTCCTGCTGGACTACTCCAAGGCATATGATACAGTTTGGCGTGAAATACTATTACTGTCAATGGCTGACAAGGGAGTTCCGTTGCGTGCAATCAGTTGGATCCATGGTTTCCTGAGAAACAGACACACCCGCGTTCGCCTGAATGGATAAACAAGCAAGAGCCAGAATTTCATGCAAGGGCTTCCCCAAGGAGCTGTACTATCACCGCTGCTGTTTATGTTCTTTGTAAACAACCTGGCAGAATCCCTCCCAAACCCTGACTCACAACAACTAACCTCAGCCAAGCTGATCTACTCAATGTTCGCTGATGACTGCACAATACTGGCCAGTCACGCAAAGAGAGCAAAGGCAAATGAAGCGACACGGTTGATTGTGGATATGGTCGTGAAATGGAGCAATGAATGGAAGCTTACCTTGAATGCAACCAAGAGTGAAGTGTGCTTCTTCTCAACATGGGTGAAGGAGGCAACGTGGCAACCAATAATTCAGATCGAAGGAAAAAGATACAATTCAACCCCGCCCCACGTCTGCTGGGCGTCTACCTGGATAGACAGCTAACCTTCAACAAGCACATTGAGGAGGTGTCCAAAAGTGCAACCTCTAAAATGAAAGTTATCGGTGCTGTCAGCAACTCAAAATGGGGCTGGGGTAAGGAGTCGCTCAAGAAAATATATCAGATGTTTGTGAAAAGCAAGTTGGATTATGCTGCCCCAGCGTGGCAGCCTTGGCTGAGTGAGACTAGTGCAAAGACCCTGGACAGAATACAAAACAAAGCCCTCCGACTTGTATCAGGTCAGCTGAAAACAACACCAACAGAAGCCTTGCGCTATGAGACCAGAACTGAGCACTACACCACCTATACAAAAAGAACATGCCTCAAGTCTGTAGAGATGGCTAAGAGATTACCAGACAACCACCATAGAAAGAAAGCCCTTGATCAAGCAGTCAAGCCTAAAAACCGCAGGAAAAGTTGATTTCGGATGGGCACCGATCTAGCAGACCACCTCCCCCCTGAAGCAGAGTATCGATGGCCGATCAATCTGGTGAGAGCTTGTCCTTTGGAGACCCATGGCGAAATCGAAATTCGGACAGAACTGAGAGGAGTAAAAGGAAACGGTGATGGTCCTGTAAAGGAACGTGAAGCAGCTGAGGATGTGATCAAAGAGGTTGGTGCGGATGTGACAATTTTCACCGATGGATCGGCAGTCGCAGGATACCGCGAAGGTGGAGCAGCAGCAGTCGTGATAATAAATGATGAACAACCACGAAGAGAAATTATAAAAACTAAAAGTACATTCCTTACATTATCTTATGACGAGGAATGCCAGGCAATAATGTCTGCTGCACAATGGATTGCCGACAATTGCCACAGCAGGACCAATGTGCTGATCTTGACTGATAGTCAGTCCCTCTGCAAGGGGCTGCTGGGCAACAGCTCGGACATGAATTATTTGTGCCGCAAGTTCAGTGAAGCCAGAGCCACAATAAAAATTCAGTGGATTCCAAGCCATGTTGGAATAGAAGGGTATGAGGCAGCAGACCTAGCTGCTAATGAAGCCAGAGAGATCGAAGGAGACAGACAACCAACGACATGCAGAGGAGTCTTTCCAATAATCAAGAGAGAAATCAGAGACCCACCATGTAGAACTAAGTACCAGCACCTGGAAGATGTGTATTCTGGGTACTCCTATAAGCGGGAACAAAAATCTATCACATGTCGCTGGGACCAGGTTGAGCTAGCGAGACTGCGGTCGGACCATCATTGGAGTTTAAGATGGTATAAGAACTTTGTAAATGAAGAGCTCGGCCCATGTTGCCGAAGATGCGGCCATGAAAAGGAGGATATCAAACATATGTTTGAATGTCCAGGAACAATGGCAATTCGAATGGAGTTATTTGGACGAGTGGAGGTGCCGCTAAGCATATTGACAATGGAGCCAAAAAAGAGCCTCGCTCTCGCTCGAAGATTTCTTCGTGAAGTCCGTCGGGCCCATTAAGGAAACAAAAAAATCATCATCATCATCATCATCATCATCATCATCATCATCATCATCATCATCATCAACATCATCATCATCGTCATCATCATTGTATAAAGAAGGTATTAAAACAGTTAAGACCTTGTTGTGTTTCCAAAAACTATATATTATGTACAGTTCGACGTTTCGCCCTGAACGGGCTTCCTCAGGAACATTCACAAAAATAACTGGCAAGAATCTAGATATAGGCCCTACACAGGCTATAAAAACTAAAGTGCGTACATACATGTCTCAACACTTAAAGGAGCGGTGAGTACAAATCGCAAAGGCCAGAGAGAAGGGAACACTAAAGCCAGAAGTGGTAGAGAGAGAGAGGGAGAGAGAGAGAGAGGGGGGGGGACAGGTGCGTGGAAGTAAGGAATATAATAACATCATCATCATCATCATCATCATCATCATCATCATTATCATCATCATCATCATTCTATAGCACCCCCTCTTGTAAACTTTGGCTTTTTGTTGCTTTCTTGTACATTCACCCTAACACAAAATACAAGTAAAGGAACGTGCATACATTCACCATTTAGGTTTACCCTAGCACACAAGAAAACATAAACAGGATTTGTTACGTATGCAGTCAGAGAATATACATGTTGTTTGAAAAAAAGGTTATTTTCATATCATTAAAAGCATTGCGTATTTATTGCTAAATCTAAATGTTACTGGTCATTTATTATTTTAAATCCCCGAAAAAATATATTCTGTTTGCCCGTGGAAGGAGATGATGCTGACAGCTATGTAATCTGGGCAGAGAGTTTACGTTAACAGTAATACTGTAAAAATCTCTGGTGTGGGTTTACTAAAGCTAAACAAACCTTCTGTCTTCCACCAGCTTTTCTAAGACAAAAGTCTGAGTAATGGTTGTTCATATTGAAATGGTCTGTGTTAGACTTGGGGTTCCAAACTCCCATAGTGACCAATGCACCAGAGTCGGTGGTTTTGATGGCAGCAGCCTGCCAGTTGAAGAACCTGGGAAAGAATGAGGTGTAGGTGTATAAAAGGTGGAGATTGTTATTGAGTGTTGAAGTGAATAACCTGGATTAGGCTGAGGGGTTATAAAAAAACCAAGATGATATCATTAGCCAGAGGCTTCTCTGTGATATACACTTGGGGCCTTACAAAGCTATACCAGAGAGCATTGTTCCTGGAGAAAGCGCACAAAGACAAGTCTGCATTTCATTTCACTACAACTCTCGATTCGAGATAAAATCCAGATCTTGAATTCCGCTTAATATGAAGTCTGGTGACTAGTAAAAACAAGAGCAATTTACAGAATACAAATAATGATTTAAAAAATTCGTCCAACCTAAGCATGTCCTTGTACAAGTATTTCTTTTCTGCCCATCCGGCACCTGAATTCTTTAGAGCGGTTGTGTCGTAGCATGAGGATTCGTTGTGCTGAAAGAGATAAGTAAAATACGTTCTAACCAAAAATGTGACATCAAAGGCTAACAACAAAAACAAAACAAAAAACAAAACAAAACAACACCAAAAACAAACAGCTAAAAAACCACACAAAAAGACACAACGACAACAGCGACAACAACACCACCAACAACAACAACAACAAAACAGAGGGGCATAACAGATGAAGGCGTAATAGTTCTATGGAAATAATCAGGCAGTTGTAAACTTCATCACCTATGCAAATTGGACTTAAGTGAAGCACTGAACAATCTGAATCTAATTATCACAGTTAACACCAAACCCGAAAAAAGCAGTAATTTCCTACAGCCCAAATTAGCGAGAATGTTAGGACGTAAAAGGAGTACTTTCCAAGGTGCGAGCTAATTTCCGCTGGTTTGTCCCAAGCACACTATTACTATTACAGAACAGGCCTAATTTTTACTACAATATCAAAAACAAAAAAGCAAAAGCAAACAAAACAACAAAAAAACCTAAACAAAAGAAATATAAACCAGAGTATGAAAAAAACAAACTATCTTCTTCAGTTGTTTTTTTCTTCACGTCCATATGACCAGCGTCTGTGATGTAGCAGTAAGGCTCTTCGTCGTCGCACGCTGGAGACCAGACTTCGATTCTCGTGTGGAGAGTATGGTTTTTCGAGTATCTCGATTGTCCTGCTAGGATGTTGTATCCCTCTAAGCCCGGGTTTCCCTTGCCAGGCAGGGTCCTGACCCGCTTCCTAAAGGATCTAAATTATGACGAACCCCCCCCCCCCCCCCCCCGGGGCAGTGCCACTGACTGTAGTGTCTTTAGGCCATTCCCAAAGGGGGGGGGGGGGGCATTTCTCGTTCAAGCACAGTAGAATTGTAAATGGGCTGATTCATCATGTCACGCTCATAACTGTGCCTGATCTACAACAGGGAACTGCTGCATTTTCTTTCCTAATCCTAACTATTGTCATTTTCCCCTACTTCTTTTGTAGGTTTGTCACGCTATTTCCGGGGTGCCTTGATAGTCGAAGCAGACCTTGTGCTGTTGAAGCTAGGGAGGTGAGCAGAGTAAGTCTGATTCCCTGTAAAGCCTTCTCTGTTGACACCTACCCCTTGGCGCTCATATGACCTTATGCAGTTGCGAGCGCCGTACAACCCTGGGGGAAAGAACACATTCATTAACTTTAAGACAAATTCTTAGCAGACATGTGTGAGGCATCGTGGCGAATCCTGTGCTCGTCAAAATTATGAAATTGAAAAACTGGCAGTTTTCTGCCTGTTAGTCAATTTTTATCGGATTTTGTTGTTGTTGACCTTACCACCACTGTTGTCCAATTAAGGACACACTTCTGGACGGATTTTTACTAACAAACGTTGATTAAAGGCACCAAAAAGTGAGTTTTCAGTTTCCACGGACCCTTCAAGCTATGGAAAAAAAAAAACTTTGGCGGCTTTTTTCTCGCTTATTCTACCTTTGAAACCAGGCGAACCCATCTTCTTCAATCTCAAATACTTTGATTTCTATTCCAGCTAGTTAGATGGGCATTTTTTCACCCTTAGCAAGACAACTGAACAAGTCTAAAGATGATACCAATAACTCCACATGCCCAAAAATTGACGAACGCCTGATTCCACCGTGTCGTGACACACATGTATTGTTTCCCGTTTATTAACGCTCGTGTGTCTTCTCCTTCGTACAGGTAACTCACTGGTTGATTGTCTTTCGCACGCTTATATGCATTACCTACAAGCCAGTCGTCAATCAAGTGGGGGTGCTCCTCTTTGGCACAGTTGGTATCAAGCTAGACTACGGAGCGGATGGCCTTGGTTCGATTTCCAGAATGGGCGTTCTTGAACTTGGGTCGTTTTGTGGAGTTTCCAAGGTTCTCAATCCATCTGTCTTGGTCCTATCGCAGACGGACGATCAATTTGGAGATCCCACTTTTTAAATGACCTAATAATGTTGACAGGTGTTTATGGTGTAGTGCTTAGACGCACGAGTTCGATTCCCGAAGAGAGGGGGGGGGGAGGAAAGGAGGATTTTTATCAAGTATCTTGGTCTGTCTGACGGGATGCTGTATTTGTCTCTGTCCGAGTTGGCCCTGACAAGCAGGGGCGAGGCCCACTTCATAAATTATTATCTAAAAAGTTGCTATGGGGACGTAAACATAACTATTTTTTTTTCATTAGTCACATGAACCAGTTGTACACTTTCGAGACTATTTGTTTATGTCTAGTCTGGAAAGCTGCAAAACAAAAATGAAGACAAAGGCACGTCTCTCACTAACTCACCACGTCCGGAATCATCATGCCCTCTGGCTCGTTCATGAGGTCCCAGCCACCCAAAGCAGGATGGCCTTTGACATGGTTCACCATCGGCTTGAGAGCCTTGTCGAGGTACGACTGCGGATGGAAGTCAATGGCAGACAATCATAGGCAATTGTAGACAATATTAAGCTGGTGACTGTATCTGGGCTCATTAACTGATATTTTGTGATTTTCACACATATTATATAATGCAGTTTGTAATTTTATAGAGATACGATTTCTCTTTCAACTTATCGGAGTCATAAAATGCGGTTTTATTTTTCAGGATTAAAAACGGGCGGTATGTAATTGTTAAGTATGACCACATATTTCACCTATTCAGTTACGGTACCAGTATTTGTTAAATCATATCTGGAACCCTTGATCTTACTGTCACATTTTTAGAAATGAAACCAGTGACCTGACAAATTGCAATGAATATTGTATGAAATATTTTATGACCGACTTATCAGCCATCAATTTCACGCTGTTTTGCTGTTGTTGTTGCTGTTGTATTTTTTTCCAGGTCGATTATACATTGTACAGACAACATGCCATGAAGCTACGCACTGAAGCTTGGGGCACGTGTACACGACAGAACTTCTGACATGTTCTTCAATAAACGTAAGACGAACATGCTGTTGAGAGGTCTCAGAAGAGTGTGTGTACAAATCACACACTTAGTGTTTCGAAAATATCTGAAACTGAACCTCGAGGCAAAAAGTCGACCATCTCCTGGAGGCCAGACTGTTCTGTCACACCATCAGAAGAGCATCTCCTTTTCATTTCAGAATTGAGTTTTTCTTATGACACCCTAGGCCTGCCCTTAACGGTCAAGACAATTCTTTAAAAGACCGGGTTACAATTTCGAGTTTCAAAGACAAAGTGCCAGAGGAAGACTTTTATAAGTAGCTATCAACCAGGATCAAAACTTCATGGCGGGATTTTATAAAAGAGGAATGTACCATCTTAATAAAGAACCAGCGCTCGACAGACTTCCACGTGACACTCTGAGAGGGAGAGAGAGAGAGAGAGAGAGAGAGAGAGAGAGAGAGAGAGAGAGAGAGAGAGAGAGAGAGAGAGAGAGAGAGAGAAGGAGAGAGAGAGAGAGAGAGAGAGAGAGAGAGTGAGTGAGAGAGAGAGTGAGAGAGAGAGAGAGAGAGAGAGAGAGAGAGAGAGAGAGAGGGGGGGGGGGAGAGAAAGCTAATAATTCTGGTACTGGCACCTCTGTTTCGGAGGAATTCTCAAATCATCTCCTTAAAATTATGCGATTTAGTGATCCTGCTGCTCCTGGAAAAAGACATCATCTCAAATTGATGGATGCTGTTCCCGGGAATACCACTCGTGATGATCATCAAGCAGGGCTTCCTGCATCTGTCAGTCATGGAGGCGACCGGTACAACCGAATGATGAATGGCTTAGAACAGGAACTTCTCTCCTCAGACCTCGGACCAACAGAATCAATCAGACTCTGAGTAGGAGTCCGAGACTGGCAATAAAAAGCAGAGATATACCCGGAACCTCTTTAAAGACTTCGATAAATCAAATTCTACCGAACTTTTTGAACTATAGATTAGATCTCGTACGGTACTGGTAGGTCTAAATTGAACAACCCTATACATGTGCTGTATTGTTACTTTTCATCATGGGGATGCATTGGAGTTTTAATTCATTCACATTTGTTAAATAAACCATTACTTCACGTCTAATATACATCAGTTTGTTTGGGGTTTTTTTTAGTTTTGAAAGAAATGTAGCGAACTATTCTATCCTATTGAAAAACAATAAATAATATTTTAAAACTGAAACGCAATGGTCTACCCTTCTGTTAGTATGCCTTATTCACCCTGTTGTTAGAAAATCACCTTTATATTTAGTGACGATGCTTTAGTCAAGACACACCCCCCCCCCCCCACCCCTCTCTTTTCCCTCAAAGAAATTAGACAAATTTGCTCCCAAAAGGGTCTGATCAGCATTATTCAACCATCTCTCTAATTTAAAACCAAACACATTAACCTAAACTCCCGAGTTTTCATTATTTTGAATCCTAGAAGCTGAAAAAAGGTGCCATCCCGGTTTACTTCTCTGTCTAAATTGGTCTCACTGGGCATTACAGAAGCCACAATAATCAATTCAATCTTTCTTTCTTTCTTTCTTTTTTTTCTTTTCTTTTCTTTCTTTTTTTCTTTCTTTCTTTCTTTCTTTCTTTCTTTTGTTTTTCTTTCTTTCTTTCTTTCTTTCTTTCTTTCTTTCTTTCTTTCTTTAGTTTTTTTTCTTTTTTTCTTTCCTTCTCTCTTTCCTTCTCTCTTTCCTTTTTTCTCTCTTTCTTTCTTTCTTTCTCTCTTTCTTTCTTTCTTTCTTTCTTTCTTTCTTTCTTTCTTTCTTTCTTCTTCTTCTTCTTCTTCTTCTTCTTCTTCTTCTTCTTCTTCTTCTTCTTTATTGATTTGAGAATCTAGGTCACAGTTACCTGGAGTTTGTGCGGATCTTTGATGAGCCCGTTCAGTCTGTTGTGAGAGTCCTGGTTCACTGCTGCGTTCCACAGACACGGGAAGACGAGAATGTTGTACCTGAGAGTAAGGTCAGTTTAGACGACCCTTTAAATGTTTCCACCAACAATGATAATATTATATTATACAAACTGTTGTTTTTACCTAAGACAGGTTCAAAGATAGCGCCATGATGGAAGCAACGACTTCGTTATTGTTATAGAACAGAGGTTTTATGTTCAATTTTTTAAAGCATAATTTCCATTTTCCCTTTAAACAGGAGCGTATAATGAGAGAAAGCAAAAATCCTTTTAAAAATGCTCATCTTCTTCTTTTTTTCTGTAACAAATGCTTCACTGTCAAAATTACTTTCATTTATCTATAGCTTGTTCACGTTCATCAGCCTGAGGTTAAAAAGGCATAAAAGCAAATCATTCCGTTTAATTTTCTCGGGTTTTTGAATGCGGCTCTAAAAAAATTGGACAACCCAAAAAGCCTGTCAATGAAGACCAATGCAAACTAAAACACGTTTTCTTTGATGTTAGCCTAAAATGGATGAAACAGTGAAAGGGGATTTACAGATAAACCAAAACCTTTTAAAAAGTTGACCTACTTTCATTTACACCACACCTTAACCCACGTCTATGAAACATGGTCCACAGATAGGTGAGTATAATAATATGTACTTTTTGAGACTTAAGTGGTGACGTCTATAGTGCTGTCAAAAGTTCGTGGCGCAACTTATTGTGAAATATTTCCTAAACTGTCGAACATAGACTCTCCAGCTTTTGTACAATGCCTTGTTTCAACTTGTCTTAAAAGATCAATATTTTTCTAAACACATGCTAGCTGTATTCTAGTAATGTCTTAATAAATAGTAATTTAAAAAAACAGAGGGTGGTTCCTACAGATTTTAAAAGGTTTACAGCTGGGGTAATATCACTTTTAAAGGCAAGTCCGTCATTTTTTCGTAATCATGACATTATGCTTACTGAAAGCATTTTTTAGAACCTTAAGTGTATAAAATATGTGTTCACTATAAAAATTAAATGCTTGTAACAAGTTTTGTCACTAAAACATGTCATTGGTGAGCTGTGACGTAGGCCATAATATGCGTATGCAAAATGTGTGTGAGAAGCGGGAAGTGCTGTGAACAATCCCATTTTTTTGGCTGACGGAGATTTATAGTATTTTATATAAATTTATGAAGAAAAGTTATAAAACTAGTCTCAATTATTGTGAAAAAAATGATTAAGTTAAGACAAATTGATACAAACTGCTCCGCAAAGTACGGGTGACAATGATTCATCCGTTAAAGAGATATTTGAGTGTAATTTGCCCCACGAATTTTTGGTCGCACAATTGACGGTCTTTGCTTGAGACGAAGAGAATACGATCTTGTTGTCTTGTCTTCCCGGTCCAAACAGAAATTGATCATACCTTCTATGGTTGAATGATAGAATATGGACATCAACGTTTTATCAACTTTAAAATACATGAGCTTTCTCAGAAAAATTAGTCTTTGTTCACGTTTTTTTAAATTTAGGAATGATTAAGTATGGACACGCCAATTGAGTTTGTTGTATATTGGTGTTACAATAACCGAACCTTCAAGCCGGTTTACAACCACCTACTTCTTTGCCGTATCCAGCATGTCTTTCATATCGTCGAGCATGGTGCCCTGTTTGTCAGGACCAATGACGAAGCCTTGGTCATTGAAGGCAGGCGTGGTCTCACCCTGCATGTGAATCCAAAAACCTGAAGGGAGACAAAGGAATGCGAATAAGGCTTAACTAAACTCGTGTTTTTTTCCTGTGGATTCTTTTTACACCTCCATCGACAAAGTTCAAATGATTTAGGAGGCAGGCTTCGACTTTGCCTGCCAGAGCCAACCCGAGCTGAGAGGGATACGATATCCTGAGAGAAAGAATGAAATACTCGATAAAAATTATCTCAACACGAGAATCAAGCCGGAGTCTTCCGTGTGCGAAGGTGAATCGCGTATAACCTCAACGGCACAGACGCTTGTGCTAATGCTCTAAGGATAACAACTTTGCGCACACACATACATATTCACACACACACACACACAACAACAACAACAACCACCACCACCACCCCCACGACAACTTATCCACCTCAACCACCACCACCACCACCCCCACGACAACTTATCCACCTCAACCACTACCACCACCACCACCCCCAAGACAACCTATCCACCTCAACCACCACCACCACCACCATCACAAACGACAGCCACTGAGTACAATAACGCACGTCCTTTGTTAAACGGGTACTTTATCCGGTCAGCCCACACACTATAGACATTAGCTATTTAGATAGATAGATGGACAGACAGACAGACAGACAGACAGACAGACAGACAGACAGACAGACAGACAGATAGATAGATAGATAGATAGATAGATAAAATCTCTCTTTCTCTCTCTCTGTTATATATATAAATTATTATCTATA